TCCTGCTGCGGACCTGGGCTAGGACTGGGTCTGGGTGTTCTGGACCTGGGCTAGGACTGGGTCTGGGGGTTCCCGGAAGTCGGCAGAAATTCCTACTCGGTGGGAGGGGTGGGGCAGGTAGGGCGGAGTGGCCCCCACCCCCTTTAAATGTACTTATTTATTTTGTTGTTTTGAGACCTGGTCTCACTATGTAATTTAAACTGTCTGTGAACTCGCTGTGCAGCCCAAGCTGGCCTCGGATTCATGGTTATCATCCTGCCTTAGCTTCCCAAGTAGTGAGATCACAGATATGACCAGCATTTTTTTTTAAATAAGTTTCTTACAAGATTAAGACCCCAGAAGAAACACTGACCATCTGAAAAGAACAAGGAAGACATTTTACCATTTTAACTCTCTTGTGCATAAAAAATACCTGAAGTGCCTGCCTTCCTTAGTGAAAGCATAAATCTCTCTACAGCTGATTTATACTAAACCCTACCTACCTACCTACCTACCTGCCTACCTGCCTACCTACCTACATGTTCTGACCACAGCCTGTTTATCTAAACTGAACTCTTTCACAAAAGCACAAAGGACCAGGCGATGACGTGTCAAAGGACCTAACTTCCAGGTAACAAACACTATATGCTGTGCACAAAATTTTTAAATCCTTTCCATACATTAATATTTGTTTGTTTTGAAATGGGCCCTCACTGTGTAGTTCAGCCTGGCCTTGAACTCACTATGTTCCCAGGCCAACCTCGAAGTCAAGGCGATCCTTCTGCCTCAGCCTCCTGAGGGCTGGGATTAGTACAATAATCCCAGAGGTTAGCTACCATTAATGAGCTCATTCCACAGATGTGGAAGTAAGGTCAGACACTCAGGCAGAGTTGGAAGAACCCATGACTGAGGATGCCTGGGCTGGAGTAGGCCTAAGGCTGGCTCCCCTGGGACTGGGACAGGGTATCACTACGCAGCTCAGGCTGGTGTCTCAATGATCTTCCTGACTCAGCCTCCCAAGTGCTGGGATTACAGCCATGTGCCACTACGCCAGACTGGGTAGCACCTTTTAAAAAATGACTCACCGAATAAATGTTACCAAGTTTTGTGGTGTTCGTGTCTCTTTCTGGGGTTGGATTCTTTTTGTCTCAAATAATTGAACAAAATGAGTAAAAAATGGTGACAAAGTTTATTTGAAAAATTAAGAGGGAAGAGTAAGGGAGAAGCTGGCTCTGCAGGGTGAACTTGGGCTGAGTAAAAGAGGAAAAAAAGATTAAAGTACACCCTTGTTGGGGCTGGGGATTTTGGCAAGGGGAATAATAGAATACAGGACATATTATATAAGATTATTTTATAATGAATCACCCAAAGAATGAAATACAAGATTGCAGGAAATATGTCCACACATTAAAGACCAAAGAATCTAGCTGAGGGTCTGGATCCTTATATACAGTGTGAGTCCAGTTGGAGATCTGGAGGCTATCACAATGCCTCTTACAAGTCCAGTTGGAGGCCTAGAGCCCAGGACAATGTCTCATGCAGGCCTGCCTCATGGATCTGTGCTGGAAAGGCCCAAAGGTCAATAGTGGAAGCTAGGAGGTCTATGCCAGTGGGATGAAGGATCTGTGCTAGCAGGCTGAGGGATCTGACCTGGAGCCAGGAAGCAATGCTCAAGGTAAGCACAGAGCTCCTCACAGAGATACCACAGCCATCCTCAGCAACAGCGAGGCCCCAGGCTCCTCCAGTGATGAGCAAGGCCGAGTTCCCGCCAGGAAAGCCAACATGACAAGCTTCTCCAGAAGGCTGAGCAGTGCACCATCTTCTCTGGAGCCAGGACCAATGCTCGAGGCGAGGACCACAGCTCCCCCAAAGTGAACTGTAGCCAGTATCACTGACAACAAAGGTCCTGAGCCTCCTCTGACAGGAACAGCCAAGTTCACCAGGAAAGCCAGCAAAACGAGGTCCTCTAGCAGAATAGCCCAAGAGAACTAGCAGCTTCTAACAGCTTCTCCATTCTTAGGCTGCTGACAACAATACCCAGGTGGGCCTCCCACACCCAGCACCATGCTAGTTCAGTTCAGCTAGGTGTAACAAACTGACCACCAGTTAACAATCCACTACAATCCTGAAGGACACAGGGTGGGCTACTGTGAGGAAAGTCATCCGTGATCTTTTATACTGCCCAAATCTCAAGGAACCCAGAAAAAGTCTTCTTAGGGATCCTGAGAGGTGAGATCTTATTCTCTGGGCTGATATCAGGTCTAGGCCATCCCTATTGAAAACCTGCTTGAGTTTTGCAGAGAAAACCAGACAAGGGCTCTGGGGACTGTTCTGCCCACATGTTCTGGAATCTTGTAGTAAAAGGTCACGTCTACTTCCTCAGCCCTCTTACCACTAATCTGTCTGGTATCGTTATGCTAGCACACGATCACCTGTGCCACCAGGCACCTGCCTCCTCCACCTTCAGCAGTCTGCTAACTTGCAGTCTCTGTACCTGCCCCTCCTACCCAGAATGCTCTTCTCCCACACTGATGGCTACCTGGCTGGCTCCCTCACTTTCCTCAGGTCTGCTAAAAAGTCACCTGATTCTGATATATAACAGACACCCTCCCTCATCTCCTGGCATTCCCTAACCTCTTGCCCATCTTGGCTTTTTCCACAGTATTTATCACCATTTGAATTCTTAGAACTTGTTTCTTTTTCAGTACTAGGAATTGAACCCAGGGCCTCCTCTATGCTAGGCAAACCCTGTACCACGGAGTTACCCACCCAGCTTTCTTGTTTCTTTGTTGTCTGTCTCCCTTTAGTTGAAGTCCTGTCACAGGGGCTTGGATTTCTTCGGGACTTGTGTCCCCAGCACGTGGAATAGTGCCCACACTGGTAGATGCTCACAAGACATGACTGACTGAGTTGACAAAGAAGCCACGCTTGCCCTACTGGAGCTCCTCACAGACTACAGTGCAAAAAGCAAAGTCCCAGAGGTAAGAAATCACCTCCTCACCTATCCACCCCCTTAAAAGATGGGTTCAGAGGAGACAATGAATTACCGAGGGCGAGCTAGGTTTGTTTGGTTCCTTTAGAAGTGTGACACATACCTGTAATACTAGCATTCTTGAGGATGAAGCAGGAGGATTATAAGTTTTGGGGGTAATTTAGCAAGGCCCTGTTTGGGAGAAAAAGAAGGGGCCAGGGATATAGCTCAGAGAAAGGCCTGGCTTCAATCTATTAAAAAAAAAAAAAAAAAAAAGACACACTGACAAAGGTTCTACAATCTGAGGTACAAGATCTCAGGATAAATCCTGAGGGCATTTCACTGACCTTCTCAGACCAAAAAGCTACAACTCT